ATTCAATGGAAACGTCAGCTCAACTCATATGATTGTGGGAAAATTCTTCTTCTACCAGTCCTTCATCACCATAGACGAAATGGGGTGAATCGAACAGACATGGTTCTTAAGGGTTTTATCTTTATCCCATTTGATACGGTATAATCACTGATGAAATATATTCATATTTACTATTAGTCTAGAATTTATGCTCCGGTAGAGAGAATTAGATAATATGACATTAATTCACTATATTTCGTTTAAGGTGATGAATGACTGGTTGTAGAATTGTCCCACAATCATATGAGTTGAGCTGACGTTTCCATTGAATTTTACATTGCCTTACTTTCCCAAAAGTTGTTCTCATCCAAGAAACATCACCTCTACTCATATGATTGTGGGAAAATTCTTCTTCTACCAGTCCTTCATCACATTACACGAAATAGGGTGAATACATCTCATATTCCCACTACTTCATCAGGTGGGGCGAATACAGCTCCTGTCAGATCTGCTGGTAGTATCGAAAAACCGACGTTTCATGAAACTAAACGTAAATGTACCGATCGTAGATGTCAAGATCGGATGGTATGGCCTTCAGTTCGGCCGCAGTCTTGCTTTACTTTGTAATGTTGATCTGACTTCGTTCTGGCAACTTGGTCGCAACACCGGTGAGCCCAACAGACGGTGCATGCAGGGCGTTAGAGACTGTTGCTAGTTATTTCATGCCAAGCTTCCCTTCTTCTGAAGGATGCTCGTTACCTGCCACCTCTCGTAGACAACTCATTTCCTAGTCCCGCTTTGTCGCCAGGTCGACAGGCGTCCTCTGCGGCATGCAAGAGGGCGCTGACTATGGTGTAACCAACCGGGCTTGGCAACACTTCATCTCTTCCATTCCCGGGTGTTATTGATCCACAACTGCATCAAATAGCTCGGTTAGTAGCCGTTTATAAATGTCAAACGGGGGCTACTTCTTTTGCATTAAGTGGAAACTACACAGCATCTCGCTCTGTGGTCAAATCGGCCACAGTTTGATTAGCCTTAAAATCGGTTTCACTTCGTGGTGAGGATAATATGCATGGAAAAGTATAGTATAGCACAGTATATTATAACATTGTATTGTAAAGTATAGCATAGCATAGCATAGTATTGCATATTGTATTAAGGTAAGGAAAAAGTATAGTATACCAATTTTTTAAATAAACACATTACATGCTAAGAACTGGCTGAAAGGCGTTTAAAGGACGGTCAAGCGAATTCATTTTGTCGTTGAATTTAATAAGAACGTTGCCATCTTAGGTCGCATAAAGTCGTAGACACGGAGACCAAGATGGCGTGGCCATTCGTTGGATTGCAGTTGCCTTTAGCTGCAGAGAGTTGCTGTAACCTCGCTTTTGCAACTTGGTCTGAGCGGTAAGTAGACCCTGCATAACATACCTTGTTTTGCGTCCTCTGTCATAGCAGAGGTCCGGCATCAGATCGATGACTTGGTACATTCTCACGCGTTTCGCCGACATGGCAACCGGCTTCGTCAGCGAGAGTGAAAAATGATGACAACTCTGACAGCGATAAATTGTAATTGTTGAGCTTAGTTCCATTTCGAGTGGAAGTGTTGGGTGAACAGATTCGAAGGTCGGTTCCACCAGAAGATGACGGCGGACTACTCTTGACCAGCTGTCGATTGGCTTTACTGGAACATTCATGCGGACGCTGTTTCCGAGGTAAGCTCCTTCGATTCCGGTGGAAAGGTGCTAAGCTTTCGTCCGTCATGTGACGAACATCATCGGAACAAGGTATCATCATTACAACCAAATTCAAGCTAACGAGTCAAGAAAACTCACCGGCATCATCGGAATCGAAGGAGGTTGCCTCGGAAACAGCGTCAGCATGAATGTTCCAGTAAAGCCAATCGACGGCTGGTCAAGAGGAATCTGCCATCGTCTTCTGGTTGAACCGACCTTCAAATCTCTTCACCCAACAGTTTCACTCGAAATGGAAGTAAGCTCAACAATTATGAAACAAGAGATTCCTCGAAACCCAAATTTTCTTCACATTGATAAATTGTTAGCTTGCGTTGAAGTGCCGACTACGATGGGAATGTACCGACTCAACGGCCCGATGCTGGAAATTCTCATTAATACTTTGACAGAAGACACATAACTAAGTATCTTCCACAAGATCTTCCTGTCACTTTGAGACATTTGCAATTGCGAGGTCAATCATGAGCTTGCAATTCCATTCGATGAAGTTGCTTTGTTCGGCACAAGTGGTTTCGAAGACAATCAGTAATTCTTGAATAAGTGCTTCGTCACTCTTTTGGATTGTATTGGCTTTTTAGGAGGCAAGGCCAGATGAAATATGATAGAATCGCGAGACCTAACGATCTGATTATACGAAAGTTCAACTAGCGTTGTAGACGATCTCCATGGTCTCTATGTCTACGATCTACCAGATCATAAAGCACTTTATGCGACCTAAGAAGTTCATGAATTACCGACAGTTTTGAAAACTACCCAGTTCGAAAAAAATGGATCAAATTTTAAGAATATGTTTCACTTATATTAGGCCGAAGTTCACTTCCAACTCTCTGAAGGGATATGAATGAGGGATGTGCGGATAAAGAGAAACTTCTTTGGTCACGGCCTTTCTGAATGAAAATAGAAAAGGAGTAAGCAGTGTTTTTTAAAGTGGAATTTAATTTTAATCGGTCGTCTAAATGCTTGGTTGGCTGCAAAATAATAGAAGAAAGTTAACTTGAACCAGAGTGAGTTTGACTTGGTTTGCGCAATATAGTCGTGCATTTAGGCCGACTTCCAAGAAGGGTTGTGCCTTTTAAGCATCAGACAATCGACTGGGTACATTTCCAGACGTTCTGTCAGAACCATAGTCTGCTTCGTCAGGTACCCTACTCCCC